ATAAATGTTTATGAACAAATTGAAACTGCTTTTTCCGAAGTTTTATCGGACAAACTGACTTCACTTGATTAGTCCTTTCAAGTCAGTGATGTTCTATTCAGAAAGAAGAAAATGAAGTACCAAGTGCTTCCAATAGATCTAGACTGAATATAAAGGAAGCCCAAGAAACAGTCGTTTGTAAGGAACTAAGAAATGAAAAGATTTGTAGCTAGTGCTCAGTTGAGTCAGTAGTTCGTTTTTTATGTAGGTACTTCATCTCTTTAAATAAAGACTTTGTAGTTGGTTGTATTATTAAGAAGTAGCTAATATTATTTCATCAAAGTTTGAACGCAAGCAAAAAAAACTGTTAAACTATCTTTACACAAAACACCAAAATAAGCTTAAGCTTAAAGTTATTTAATTTTATTTTGAATTGTGACAATGGCATCTGGCTGCGCAATGTCTGGTGAGGCTAAGGAATGGGGTCGGGGTTCGGTATCTGGACGGGTCAAAATATTAAGCACTGAAATGTGTTGCCTGTTAAAAATATTACGTACGGTGCACGTAATGGCAATAATTCAACGCAACGATGAAATGAAATGAACCACAGCATTAAATTCAAGGTCATGAACATTCTTCAGGAATTTAGGTTATCAAGAAAGATTTTAGTAATCTGTAAATTTTGGCTACCAAAGAAATTCCTGAACATTCGCTTGGCATAACAATCGCTGAGCATTTGAGCAATGCAGGTTTATTATTAAATTATGTAAGTAAAGAGAATATTTAGGAACCCTAGTGCAGTGACTAAATAATATGCAGATTCACAACTTTGTTGTAGTTTCTAAGACTCGGTCCCTACCCCATTAAATTGGGAAAAGGCCGTGAGAAAGAAAGATCTCATTAAAAATGCGGCTGAAATTTTATTTCGCGTATTGTCTAGTCTAGTTACTGTAATCGGCATCATAAATAATGTTTATTACATTGCTGTATTTAAACTAGATTCATGTACAAAACGTTTGCAGCAATTAAAATGTAGCGTTCCTCTGTGATGGCTAACACCACACGATTTATTGCTTTCGAAATTACGATAATTGTGAAACATTCTTCTATTGTATTTTTGATACTGTCTGTATTGTCTTAAAGTTTATTTTACTTTACGTACAATCAGTTCCTTGTTAGATCTTCATACAACTAAGAAAAAAGGTACAAAACGGTTCCATTTTCTTTTACATTGACAATGTCTTAATAGAAGTTTTTTTTAACCATAATTATACTACGTCAATATTTTATCAATAACTCGCCTGGTAGTAAGCGATGCTGTGGCCGTTGATATAGTTAATAAAATATTCAAAGTTATTCTAAAATCCTCCTAATTTTTCACTGACTCCGCATTGCCCTTTTTAAAGGGCACGGTGAGTTTAACCGGAGTGACACCCTGGTCATCCTTTCCGTCATGTTTGTTCAACAATGCGGAAATTCGGCGGTCATGCGTCATCTGTACCGTGTATACACGAGTCCAGTCTTAAAGGCCCGTTAATGAGTCTAAAAATACTGACAATACTATGGCACGCCAGCCGTTAATATACCATGAAATTTGCACTGAAATGAGGTACATTTCATTCACATTTTACGTGATTCATGGTAAAATGTATGGTATTTGGAATTGTTTAGGGTTTAGGTACATAAACACGTATTCCAGTAACACAACATCTCGGTACATAACATTCTTTCACGAATCATGAATGCAGCATAAGTATTGTTCTTATTTAACACTGACAACGTGTGGGAGAGCCAGGCTTCGGCACGAATGGGCCGGCTCGACCGGAGTGATACCACGGCCGCACAGAAAACTGCCGTGAAGCAACGCTTGTGTTGTGTTTCGTCGTGTGAGTGAGGTTACCGGAGGCCCAATTACCCTCCCCTTCCCCAATCTCCCCAATCCCTGAATCCCCAACGATCCTCAAACTCCTAATCCCCAAAATGCCGGTAACGCACTTGTAACGCCTCTGGTGTTCCAGGTGTCCAGGTGTCCACACTACAAACCTCAAGCTCAACTTTCTTCCTTTGGTCAGGCTTACTGCTACGTATCCTGTATGTGGTTCAAAACAATAGACCTGCCTCTTCACAGAATCGAATGCAAATCAAAGATAAAAAAGACTGTCAGACCCTTCTTATTTTTACAAAAATACTAATTACTAACTCAATAATGGCTAGCTAAACGTCACATAACCATAGAAGAAACACAACGAAAATCTCATCAATGTCGTTGCACTGTGAATGTAAATGAATGTAGTAGAACCCTTTATACTCTCTGCCTATCCCTGGAACACAAAACACACACACACAAAGGCTTAAGTTTATGAATACATATTTGTGAGTTTTAAATTCTCTCTTTCACTTTTCTCTCATATGAGTAGCCAGAAGTAAGACCATATCTAGATAGTGTATCCTGATTCGATCACAGATACAAATTCAATACAATTAATTTGCTTGCTTCCCTTTTTTATGCTAATCGTTAGTATAGAGAATTGTGTGGCTAAGATCTGTGCAGCACTTCTGTCAACATATCAGATCTACACACTTTTCGTGCTATAGTCCTGGATCCAAATGGAATGTCTCAGTATCGTCATCATCATCAACATCTGTAATAGTTACCTAGGCTCTCTTCAAAAATATGGTTCACCATAATTTCTGGCGCTTGGGTAAACCTACCTGAGGTTATAGATTTCTCTGTAAAAGATTCAGGTTTATCAGAGAGCGTTGCCGCTAGGTGTCTGTTGAATGTGCAGTGCCATCGTCGGGTCTTAGACACCCAAGAATAGAGTAGGAGCGGTTTGTGTGATGACATATGTATTCTGACTTGCCGTCCCCACAGGGTTTTTTTTTAAGGGGGGAAAATCATCGAATGACTGTTCCCGCCTGGGTGAGGCGGGAGGGAGTGTCAGGCTCTTACTGACTAAAAACCACCCCGTTCCTTCTTCTGCACGTCGAGCCGGAGCCCCGGTAACCCGTTAGGTTCTCCGAAATGTGTGATTACTTTGCCAATAAACATACGTGTCTTAAGAATGGGTTCCCAAAGGTTTCAAAGTGCGAACATAAGTTATGACCCAAAACTTGAAAACCTTTTCAAACTGTTCTAGTTATTGTAAACTAGGTTATTGAATTGATTTCCTCGATTTCCGTGTAAATGTGAAATATTTTGAATTCAGCTTCGCCACTTAGAATTGTAGTTTTGACAGATGTTAAAAGCTACTTCATTTTTGACCTAGTTTCTGGTACGACCTAATAAGTTGAGATATTTCAATCGAACTGTTTGTAGCGGTTTAAAATTTTACACTCGCGATTGTAATACATTGACAAAATAACTGATCAAGGAATAACTTGCAGCCTGGGTAGTTTTAGAGGTATTTTTTTTTAAGGGGGGAAAATCATCGAATGACTGCTCCCGCCTGGGTGAGGCGGGAGGGAGTGTCAGACTCTTACTGACTAAAAACCACTCCGTTCCTTCTCCTGCACGTCGAGCCGGAGCCCCGGTTATCCGTTAGGTTCTCCGCGACAGTTTTAGAGGTATAGGGTCTTAACTTGGGGTTTAAACCTTTTTATCGAATTTTATGATATGCTATAAGTACAAGGTAGCTGAAATAGGATTCCTAATCAGTTTATTAGAATTAATTAGGTATTGTTTTTTGTAAGGTGTAAATATTTTAGTTTATAGATATTTATATTTTATTTAAGTTGTATATATTTTCATTTAGTAATAGTTAATTTTATTATATTATCAATACATAGTATAAAACAAAGTCGCTTTCGCTGTATGTCCGTATGTATGCTTAGATCTTTAATACTACGCAACGGATTTTGATGCGGTTTTCTTTAATAGATAGAGTGATTCTTAAGGAAGGTTTGTATGTATAATACATGCATATTGCACCCGTGCGAAGCCGGGGCGGGTTGCTAGTAAAAAATAAGACATATAAATAAATTATTTTATCTATAGTAGGTATATTAGAAAAGATTATGAAATAAGTAACTTTAGTTAGGGCCGATTTTTCAATGCTCAGTTAAATTTTTATCAGAGGAATAAATTTGAATATTTGACAATGATTCCATACTAACCATTGTCACATGTCAATTTTATTCTACAATCACGAATTATTGAGAAACTGATGATTGAGAAATCGGCCCTTAAAAAGTATAATTTAATTTTATCTCGTTGGTACGTGTTATATAAATAACAATGAAGTTCAGCTGTACCTCCGTCCTAAATGAATGTAATGTGTAAATTATTTTTATTTGTAAGCAAACAAAGAATAAATCGTACGTATTTAATTAGTTGTATGCTGGTATTTATCCTTTATATAGTATTGGGTTTGTATTTATATAATATTGGGAGTTATGCGTAACAATGCGATTGAATAGAACCGGTATTCCCATTGTTTATTTATAAATGTTAAAACGTACGTAGATAGGTATAGTACATGGGTATTTTTTATAAAACTCTCGCAAATAGTTTGAAGCATTAGAAAACCAAGACAAATAAAGGAACGACTTCTAATAAAAACGTGGCGTATCGCAACAGCTAAAAAAAGTTTATTATGTTTTTATTTCAGATGTCTGCTAATGTTTAGCGTAAGATCTTGTATAATATCATCGAATGATACATTCCCTTGTTTTATATCTCATCGATTATAAATGTTTTATTAGTTACATTTTACGATCTGGAAATATTCAGGGCCTTGAGATAAAAAACACTTGAAGTTCATCAATGTTATTTTAGCAATGGTGTTAGAAAGCAAAGTCGTACCTACACGTGTCCACGATTATTTTTATATTAAACTAAAATAATAAGAAACGTATGTCGATGAAGCACCTTTAAACAAAAAATATTTAAAGTACCCACGAGCAAAAAGTAACCGCCAAAATTCAAATTTTCTATAAAACAATTTTTAATTTTCAACAATGCACTATAACACCACTGCTTAATTTTTACAAATTATAAATAATCACTGCACTTAACGTACCGCTTTTCCCGACAGATGGCGCACCGATCACAGCGACTTTCACTTCAGACAGCGACGATTTCTTCCGTCTTATCCCTCTAGCGGACATTTTACGTCCGACGCGACGCGCCCGTACTTCGTCCGTACCCCGATTGCGCGCGAACCCGAAACAAAAAGCTTCAGCGCCCCAATCTATAAATACTCGCAGCGACACTCACTGACATCCACTGCGTGTTAATAGGTCAAGATCTGGCCAAGATCAGAGTCGTGCAAATAGCCCTGTTTACATCGGCTTCCTCTCTGCGACTGAGTATGGCGGTAGGCCAACGGGCATCACTCCGGTCACTCCCACTTGGACCCAAACGTTCCAGCGTATTAATCATGTGGAATTTATATGCATGTAATTTAGTCGTCAATGTTTTTTAACATTCGATTCCAGAACAGTTTTGTTGATTGACGTATGTTCCATCATGTGTGTCGAAGGCCTCGGCGTGAAACAGTTGTCGGTTGTCGGGAGCGACAGGTGACTTGAAGCTTTCCGGTGGACTGGCGACAGCAAATGACCGCAGTTAATTTAGTGACGTCACTTAGTAATTAAATACTTTACTTGGGGTCTTTTTGAAACTAAATCTTTTGCAATGTGCATTCAGCAAAGTTATTAATCGTTTAGTACAATTTAGGCGCATGCCCATTAAATTAGGTAATATACTGATAAAGAATTAGTGTTTTGATTTGCTTTATCCAAGAATCGAATTTTAGTTTGTGAAACCTGCAAGTAGATTGGAAGAATAAAATTAATTATGAATAGATATAGTCCAGTTTTAGAATAACCACGTGATTTCCAATCACGTATTACTATCTATGATTCAAAATAGAGGATATCTCTATGATTTAAAATAGAGGTTTTTCTAAATTCAATCTCGGATGTCCAGTTGGTGCACAAACACAACTGCCATGGATAGGGTCTAAATTCCAATCCTCAATGGACGCTATTGAGATAGGTAATAGAGCCTAATTTCAGTTGTAAAATTCGCAACTATTGTATGAAATTTAAACATAAATTTAAAAATTGTCATCAATGTATACTATTTGCATCCAAAATGTAATATTAAGTATGCTTACTTAACGTAAAAACACAATATTATTTACTTAATAAATGTAAAAGTGTATTTGTTTATTTTTATTACCCTTTCTTAAGATTTTCCTTGACATTAGAAGGGTCTGCCTAATTTCTATCGAGGCTATACATGATACAGACCGCTTTAAAGCTTCATAAACTGTCCAAACTACTGGGCAAAATCCATAATCTTTCTCCAACTTTAAGGTACAATTTTATAAATGTTTATTATCATTCCATCAGCTGATTGTATAAAACAGACTCGGCCTATCATATAGGAAGACCGCCCGGTTATTATTAGACATTACATGTCGTTGCTCTAAGCCAAATTTAACCGTTACTATTTATACGCACTTACAGTTAGAAGGAACTTATAACTTCTATTGCTATCTGTATCGAAATCAATCCGGAAGATTTCATTTACACAAGATTATGAACGTAAAGGGAAACGGATCCCCGTTTTGCGGAGTGTAGACAGCCTAATTGGTTACCGGGTTTCCATCGAAGCGGGAGTAGGAACGGAGTGGATTTAGTCAGTAAGAGACTGAAACTCTCTCTCGCCTTACCCAAGCAGCTAGGGCTCAAGGCAGGAGTAAGAACAGGGTAGTTTTTGGTCACTGTGAATCCAAAACCCTCTCTCACCTAACCTAAGGCGGGAAAAGACTATTTTTTCCGGTAAAAAAGGTAAATTTTCTCTATTTGAGGTCATTCAACAAGACCAAAAGAAATGGAACCAAGTTTATCTTTTCATTTTCATCAACATCTCATCAGATACGTCCTCTACTTACTGTAGAGGGAGGCGTTTGTCATAATCGCCACGACTGGTCGACAGCTTAGGAATCGCAATTTAGTTACCGTTTCAAGACATACCTAAGTCCGTTTCTTCCTTTTTCTTTTTTAAGTAGTACCTAAGTACTTAGTAGATAATAGACAACTTTATTAAAGTCTCTTCTATTTAAATACAGGTAAATATGATGTAAGTGCCTTTTCTTTACCTAATTCGGGATTCGGGTTACCGAACGTATAAACTGCAAGATGCAGTCGCACTTATACAACTACTGAACTGTCTCAAAATATGTGCATTGTTTAAAGAGTATTTGTAGAAAAAAAAGCCGTGATCAATCTAAGAATCAGTTGAGTTTAATAACGAAGAGCCCTTCAAACTAGTTTACTCACTTCTGTCATTCATTTTCTACCCTCGTTCCCTGACTCTATCGATGTTACACTTCCAAACTCATTGAACTATTAACCTAACCCAGTATCGGTGCAAGTGACCCTATTTTTGACGTCACAATATTTACTCGGGCCGGTTTTTGCACAGTTTACCTACTAGTTAGACACAGTTTAGGGAGCAAATGAAATAGATACGTACAACTACATATATACACATAATGTTAATAAACGAAGAGGAATATAATTAAGCTAGCTGTTACCCGCGACTTCGTTCTCGTGAAATTATTCATTTTTCTAGTTAATTTATACTTTTTTGACGCGACAACGTGTTGATTGGCGAACCGTATTTGAGAGCTAGTATGAAACGGAACGTTTATTATCTACTTAATATGGCGACTGCGGTTTGTCTGTCAGTGTCATTAAAATGAATTAATAAAACGAAATAATCTCCGTAATCCGAATTTTACGAATATAAGTTGTCGCCTCGAAATCGAATTTTTTTTTTATGTTTTGTTATTCAGGTAATGTTTCGATCGAGTCTACCGTAACCCTTTAACGAAATTATTAATATAGATTATACTTTTTAGTTCGAAAGAATATCGGATTTTTTTAATGAACTGTCTGTCTACGGCTAAGCCCAGGGTACTTTCATTTTGATTATAGGTACTTATAAGAACTTAAACTAATATAACCTTTGTATAATACGCGGCACAAACAATATGTTTGTTGTCACGTTAACTTTCAAAACAAACACCTTTTGTTATTGTTCCTTACATTTACTTACTTTTTAGTATGTGACATCCTTACTAATATTATAAATTGGAAAGTGAGTTTGTTTGTTTGTTCCGCTTTCAAGCCGTAACTACTAAACCGATTGCTTTGAATTTTTGAAGACGTAAAGTTAGAAGTCTGGATTAAGTAATAGAGTACTTTATATCCCGGAAAAATTTGATATTCCCGAGGGAAAACAAAAGTATTGGTATAGATGGCGCTGTGTGTATTGGTATATGTCACATAGGCTACTTTTTTTCCTTATGTGACGCGAGCGAAGCCACGGGTAAAAGCTAGTAATTTAATAATGGCAACAATAACCATACATACATGAGCAAACAATACACAAAACGCGATGATACGCCCACTACGTAAAACCTGGCCATGGTTTGTGCCGGGGGCCATACAGAGTACAGTTTCATTTCAGTTCAACTGTTCAAGGGTGCTCTCAATGCAACAAGTCTTATTAAAAGACAGCGCATAAAGGTAAAATCCCAAACAAATTGTCATGACGCGCCAACAACTTGATTACTGACCTGCTTTATTTAGGCTTAATGAGAAACATCGGCGTGTAGTGACAGCAGAGTAGAATAAATTTGTCACTAACCATAATTTTCCCACGGATACCGACTGAGGGAGCCGTTCCCGCACTCTGATAAACTAAACCTGATCCTCAGTGCTGTCTTTACCATAAGAGCATACTTGGGGCCCGTGCCCAAGACTCCCATCCTCAGGGGCCCCGAAGGACTGACAATTTCTACTATACACTCGGTTGCCGTGCTACGTGTAGCGGATTCGATTCCCTCACGAAGCCAATGTGGGTACTGTGGTTGTTATGTGTATGTGAACTTGTTTGTTTGTAAATGCACCCACGACAAAGGAGAAAACCCTAGTGTGGGGCAGCGTTAGGAGAAGCAAAAAACATTCCAAAAGGGACTCGAATTATTGATTGTCCATGGCCCAGCGTAGTCTAAGACGGCCTGCTGATCTTCTTAAACAACGATTTATCAACCCGATCAGCAAACCCCATCTTCATCTGGGAATGTTGACGTGTGTATCAATGACAAACACTGGTGCCACACACATCAGTCGAGTGATACATCACTCGTAGTAGCTACACTACTAGACGAGCAATGTGTCCCGGGTTCAATTTCCAAGTTATACAAAATGTACATACATAACATAACATCACGCCTTTTATTTCCGAAGGGATAGGCAAAGCCGGAATATGTCCAGTACTGCATAAAATACGTATAGTCGTATAGTCTCTCTTTTAGATTTATTGGGTCAGCAGGCAGCTTGGGGATATTGATAACAACTCGTCCTTAATCTTACAAATTTTACAGTACATGGAGCAACAACTTCGAGGATTTATGTAAAAATATAAGAATTAGGAAATCCACCTGTTGAATTGGTAACAAAAAACAAAATGGCCGCGGGGCTAACGCTTGTGATAATACCCTCAGACCGCCCCTAAGCAATAAAGCGGGTAAACGCTAAAATAGGTCACGCCTTCCACAATCCTCAAGAGAAATTAAAATACTGCTTGGGGATACATTTCTTATCTCACTTAAACTCTTTTCCGGAGAATAAACCAATTATAATAAGCAATTATTTTTTCTTTTGTTTTCAACAGGTTTCTATGCGCCATGTGCACAAGAGTTATGTAGCAGGCAGCGTTCAGTAGTTCACCTTTGAACAGAATTTGTTTACACATACCTAATACCAATCGGAATCTATTAAAATTTTAATCAATGCATAGATTATGGATTATTTAAGGTTATCAATTGCAGCCATTAAGTGTTGTTAGTTACACCTTTAAAACCTAGATTTATGGACTAAAAATTCGCAGGAACTATGTGGCTAAGATGATATTAGAATTTAACCGCACGTTCAACTAGCAGAGAAAATCGAGAAAACACAAAAAGTAAACGAATTAACGAGATATTGATTCGATGCGAGGTCTGTAAAACGTCTGGTAGTAATTTATCGCCTTTAGTTTTAAATCGTAACGACACTGAGGTATTTGTTTATAATACGTTTCGGATATCAGTGTGTTTACAACATGTCGGTCATAAAGGGCCGTATTATTTACGGCGGTCGTTAATTCTCGGCTCCCGGATTCTATTGGAAGTTAGGGGATGTTTTAATAGTTAGTTTTGAGAGTTAAGAAAAGCTATTGCAGATTGTGATATGTTTTTATAATAACTATCGTGAGACATACTA